ACTTAATCTATCTTCTAAAAGATTTAGAGCTTCTTTTTAAATATTTAGATCTTTGATCCATTTTGATTTGAGTTTAAGTGCACAGTGAGAGATATGAGATACGGGGTTGGGGTCTGAGTCATTTCACTGATAACACTCTGGGTGTCTCTTGATAGCCTGGCCTTGGTTCCCTTACCATGGACTTTCCAGTGATTGTTCCTTGCCCAGTCACTGTGGTAGCTTAACACTGGGAGCCCTAAGAGGGAGCTGACCTGAGGCTCATTGGCCTCCTGCGTGGCATCTGACAAAGCGTTCAGGGGACACAGCAGTTACTTTCCAGGGGACACAGCAGTTATTTGGAGTGGAGTCATTCACCAGCTCTTGCAGCACACAGCATCCACTGCTCTCTTCCAGTGACGTTTTTCTCTGGTGGTCTCTGGAGTCACCCTCTCTCGCTGTGTCTCTGTAGATTCCATCTTCTTTCCTTCCAAGAGCCAGGAGCTGGGAAGAAAGTGCAGGTTGCCCCTTCCTTTTTCTGCATTGTGCTCTGTCTCTTCCATTTCTCTGTACGCTCCAGTTTTCCTTTCAGATCCTCCCTGGGTTCCAGGGACCCATCTCTCTCCTTCTTTTCTTCCCCAAGTTGTTTCCCAGTGTCTGCATTCGAATCTCGTGTCACTATCTTCCGCAATCCTAAAATGTTTTTTTAAAAGACACTTAAAAATTAGAAATATGTGTGTTTACCAATAATCAGATATTTACCTTTTCTGGTTTTGTTTATTTCCTTATACAGATTCAAATTCTTATCTAGTATTATTTCAGCTTAAAAATATCCTCTTTAATTCTTTTATTGGTGCCAGCCAAAAAAGGTCTACCTAGATTTAATTTGCCTAAAATGTTTTTAATTTTTGTGTTTGATTTTGAAAGATATTTTTTCTGAGTATAGGTTCTAGATTAATAGTTCATTTTTCTTTTAGCATTTTATTTATTTTTTTATTTTTTTGGTTTTGGTTTTTCTCCGGTACCAGGAACCGAACTCACGACCTTGCGCTTGCCAGGCAGGCACTTTGCCACTGAGCTAAATCCCCAGCCCTCTTTTAGCACTTTAAAGATATCATTCAATTTTTTTTGGTTTCATTGTTTCCACTAAGAAATCAGTAGAATATTTGCCTTAGTTCCTATATGTAATGTGTATGTGTGTGTTATATGTGTGTTATATGTGTGTTTCAGGCTTTAATTTTTTAACCTATTTCCAACAATTCAATTATGATGCATTTTTGGGATTGCTGACCTCTATCTCATTTGGGTTTTGCTGAGCTTCTTGGATCCATGAGTATATAATTTTTAAATCAAATTTGGAAAGATTTTGGCCACTGTTTCTCTAAATATCACTTGTGAACACCATTGCCGCTGACTTCTCCTGGGACTACAGCTGTACCTATTGCCCCACAAGTCACTGAGCTGCTTTTAATTTTTTAAAGACTTTCGCCCCCTCCTGTGCCTCAGTCCTGGTAATTTTAATTGCTGTCTTCAGGGTTACTCATCTTCTTCTGTGTAGTGTCTAATCCCCATTAAGCCAACCACTGAATTTTCCATTTCAAACAAATCATTACTTGGCCTAATTCCATCTTTCCTTAATGATTTAAAATTCTACCTTTATCATATGCTAATTCCCACAGATGTTTATACTTAATGTACTTTCTATTCTGTTACATTGATTTGTTTGTGTATTTATGTTTTACAATTTTTATTATTATAACAATATATGCTAACATATGGCAGGGTTAGTTCTCCCACAAAATTTGTGTTTTTCTTTCTGTTCTTATTTATTTTTCCCAAAAGAAGTTTAAAGTCAGATTGTTCAATGAAAAGAAAATTCTGTCGATATCTTAAAAATGATATTTATAGGTTAACTTAGGAATAATTAACATTTTTCTCATGTCATATCTTCCTATGCATGGTTTGTCTTTTGCATTTTTTAAGTCTCCTTTTGCAGCCCTAAGTAGCACTTTAAAGTTTTCTTCATATAGATCTTAAATATTTTTACTATATTTATGTTTAGGCTTCTTATGTTTTGTTACTGGGGCTACCATAAATGCTATCCTCCTGCTATTGCATGTTCTAAGTGGTTATTGCTTTTACATAGAAAAACTGTTGATCTGTACTTTAGTCTTGTCCCAGTTACCACACTGCATTCCCTATTGTTTCTGTTCCTTTGTTCATCTTTTTTCAGGCCCACAGCATAATATCTGTGGTTTTGTTGGGTTTGGATGTTCTATTGTATAAAGCTCAGATATTGCCTGTCTTTTATTTTACTCTAGCTTTAAATACTCTGAACATACTCATTTAAAAACCTTTTCATATTGTGCCATTATCTGTAGCTTCTAATTGTTTTTTTTTTTTTTTTTTTTTGGTACCAGGAATCAAACTCAGGACTTTGGGCTTACCAGGCGGGCACTTTTGCCTCTGAGCTATATCCCCAGCCCTATCTGTAGTTTCTGAGTGTAAAAATTTCCTATTTCACCTGTTGGCTGCATTTCAAGGTACTTCCTTTCTTCATGTAGTTAGATATATTTCACCATGAGCTCATCTTTAGGCGCAATAGTTTTGTGGTGAATCCCAGGGGCTTGGCTTGTGCAGGTATCTGTATCATTTGGTTCATATTTCCTTTTGTGGGGTCCATTCTTGGATAATTTTTATGTTTATTTTTTGACTATAACTTCCTTTAGTTATGGTTAGGAGAAAGTTAGACGAACACCCACACGTAGTGTAATTTTGGAAGTTTGATTTCTGGAGGTTTAGTTCTCCCTCCCACAACCCTGGGCAGATGGTCAACTTCCTGCCGCACCCTTAGCCCAGCGGGCAGAGTTTTTCTACTCTTTATTTCATGGCGGAAACAGCTTTTTGGCTTTTAGCTTTATTCAAAGACATCAAGTCTGCTTCTTACACCTGCAGGGCTGAAGCCTAATCCTCTGTCCTTATGAGTCTTAAAGCCCATTTTCTATGTTCCTGATAGCCCTCTAACCATTTGCTTTCAACACCTGCTCAATTTTATGAGCTTGAATTTCTGTTTCCTTCTTGGGACCTGGGAATTTTCCTTGCTTATTACTGAGTTTGACTATGGAAGGAAGATGATCATAATGGCAGCAATAATATCTTGTTATTACATTTTACCCAAAATTTACATGGGTGTGCAGTATACTGGGAAACATTCACATCAGCTCAATCTGTGTCATTGACCAGTATTTCCTGATGAGCCGTTAGGTAATTCTGACACATGTCCTTTCCTATCACACAGAGGAATCCTTAATCTCAAGGTATTTTGGACCCTGGCAAATAGAAGATCTTAAGTGTTCCAGTTCATTCATTCACTCAACAACTTTTCCCACACCTTCTCTTCTATTTTATATAATGACACTTATATTGAGCATCTGTTTTGCTCCAGGAATCGAGGTTGTCCTCCAGCATACAACACCATTTCACAAAGTTAGGTCACAGTTTTGTAAGGTGTCACTCTCGGTGGCCCAGAGAGTCATTTTAACGCATTATGGTAAGGACTTAAAATAGAGGGATGGGCGGCACATTTGCAGGGGTTGTTTAAAGGCCCTGTGTAGGGGTGGGAATGGGGATGGTGATGTGTCTGTGTTTTATGCACACTAGAAACAACAGGGAAGAATGACAAAGTAGGCAGCAGAGGCTGGGAAGGAGGGCACTTTGCTGGGTGTTAGGGGCCTTGGCTACTGGCTTTTGTGCTGGTCAGCGTGACAGCTCTCAGCCTCCCTGAGGCCCTGACCCAGCAATTCCGGAGTGGGTCCCAGTCATCTGCAAACTTGGGAGCATCTTCGGATGATTTTCATGTAAAATTAGGATTTGTGACTGATATTGGAAACAATATCACACTGACCCGCACTTTTTTCACTTCACCTGAAAATAAATTTCTGTTAATCTCTGAAAACGCCAATTTTTCTGCTCACACGTATCCCTCGTTTGGTACATGCATCTCCACACATAGAAGTGGGTGCTGTAAGCAGTGGACAGAGTGGGAGAAGTCTGAAGTTGACGAGAAACTAGTGGGGCCACTGTATTCTTTTTCCAGGACTTCTATAAGAAAGTGCCACTAATGGGGTTACTTAGACCCACAGAAATTTAGGAGCTACTTACCTGGTTCTGGGAAGCTCATCTTAGACTTGTCTGTCAGTGTAAATGTGCCTCAGTGCCCTTGACTGTAAAGTAAAGCAGATATTTCCAGATCCACAATCCTAGTCCAGCTCTGTTGGTAACAGTTGTCTTTGTTGCTTTTGCTATTAATGCTATCCTGTACTCTCACTGACTTTAGAGGGTTAGCTACTATTTTCCGGAGAGAAAAGTATCAGTAGGCTCAGATGAGAGACTAGTTTCTCTATCATCCAGTGTTGTAATTAAGTAATGGTAATGGATGTAACAGCTCAACCAGTTAGATGGCCTGCCTTTGCACCACCAATTGTCACGTTCTGAGGCGACAAGGCTGAGTTTCGCGAGCCGAGGAATCTACCTTATTGATTTACAGTCACACCTCAGCGGTGTGTGGGCAGGCACAGGAGTGTGAATAGCAATTGTTAGTGAGCCCAGTTGGAGGACGACAGGGAGATTCTCAGAGGCCAAGGTTCCAAATGTTTCTCATTAATTATATTCAAAACAAACTATCTGCCTTCAAACCCCAATTAGGGCATAGCACATGGCGCCACAGCCATGGCAGTAAACTTCCTGATCTGCTGGTTTTCATTTTGAGAATTGGAGTAGTGCAGTGGAAAAAATATGATCTCTGGAGCCAGGGAGACTGGGTTCAAAATCTGGCTCTCCCACTTACTAACTTTAGGACAGTGGGCAAATTACATGGCCATGTGCTACCTCAGTTTCCTCTTTGGAAATATCAAGGTAATGGTGATAACCACATCAACTTCAAAAAGCTATTGTACAGATAAGTCAAGAAGTCTTAGATATAATTATTTGCACCAAGACAACGATTTAATCCATTGCAACAAATGTCAAGGCGAGTTGAGGCAAACCTCAGTCTTCTGTTGATATGAAGGGGGCATGTTAGCCATTCCTGAAGGCCTTGTCCAGCACTGCCTGGCCCTTCCACGTGGGAAGTCAGCCTTGTCTGGGCCACCGCCACCTCTGCAAGGGCGGGCCTGTGAAGACAAAGCTGAGCATCCTAAATAAAGGTTTCCAAGCCCAAGCAAAGGCTGCTGGATGAGGCAGCTGACTGGTAGCTCCTTTCCTTCTTCAGCGCTGCTCTTCCGTTTTGGTCTCTTCCGTCCTCCATCTTGTTTTCTTCCTCTTTGCTACTCCTTGTTCCCCAGCCCAGCACCCCACTCCCTCTCCCTCTCTCTCTCTCTCTCATCCTCCTTACCCATGGGCATTACTCAGCTGGAGATGACGCTCAGGACACAGGGCCCCTCCTAAGCCTGAGCTGAGTCCCTGACCCATTTTCTCCTGAAAGAAAGAGGGGTTGCCATGCCAGCCTCACCTTGGACACCCTACTACAGCATGACCTTGTCTAATTATATCTACAGAAACTCCAAATAAAGTCATATCCTGAGGTCCTGGGAGTTAGGAATTCAACATATGAAATTTTTGGAGTGAGGAGATGCAGTTCAATACGTGAGAGCCATGGCTGTGTCCTACAGACACGATTCCACTGAAGTGTGCGGTCTGCTGCCCGTAGCCGTGCCACAGCTCCACCCTGAGTGCTCCCTGATACACATTTGATAGAAGTGCCCTGATGCTAGTTTCCATGTGCTTGAAATGAGGCCAGGATCAAGGACAGGGCCTGAAACATGCAAGGCCGCATAAAGATTTTGTATTTTACCCTAACAATGGGGAAGCACTGAATGTTCACAAATGAAAGGTGACCAGGCTCTACAGAGCTCCTTTCAAGTATAGCATCGAGAAGTGGAATGAGGGTGGGACAAAGTGGTTGTAATTATTCAGGAAAGTGGGAGACCTGACTTGTATCTTCATAATGGTAATGGGAACACAGACCAAATGATCTGGAGATAAAGCCATAATTTATATGTCAAGGTACCTAGACAAGAGGCACTAAATTATGTGCTATTTAACACGAGAATTGCCAGTTGGGGATTGCTGGTAAGGAAAACTGACATTTGGGTTTCTGGAGATGGGCACATTAATTTTGGAACACAGTATCTTGTTTTCAAGTAAGTCCCCAGAATAAACAATCTAGTTAAACCAAAACAAAGCAAATTTTCATGAAATAAGTGGTGAAGACATCAAACCTAAGCATGGAAGCTGTAGAGTGGGATGGGAAATGGTGAATTCTGACTGAATTATCAGTCTTCCTATGTATTAGTTTTCTATTTGCTGCTGCGACAAGCTACCACAAATGTAGTAGTTTAAATGACACAATTTTCTTCCCTTCTCTTGCTGTAGATCAGAAGTGCGGCGTGGCTCTTACAAGGACATAGTCGGCTGTTGGTAGGGCTGACTGTCTCTGTGGGGCCTGTAAAACTCTCCTCTCCTCTTGGAAGGCCACTGCCTTGACTCCGTGACTCAAGATCTCTTCCTCCACTTTTAAAGCCAGCAGTGTAGCATCTCCTGAGTTCTACTTCTACCATCATGGGTCTTTTTATGACCCTCTTTTTTACTTTCCCCTTCTACTGTTAAGGACCCTTACTTTGGAGCCTGCTGGGTGGTCTCAGGTACTCTCCCTATCTCATGGTTAGCTGATCAGCAAGATGAATTCTATCTGAAACATTGATTTCCATCTGTTCATACCTGAATGCATTCACAGGCTCTGGGATTACAAGGTGTAGATCTTTGGATGCCACTGTGCTGCTTCCACATTCCACATGGTGTTGAAATTAGTACAGAGCTGAAACCCAGAGCTGGAGAGTGCAGTTGTCTTATCTGGGCTCCGGTGAATCGGACCGGTTTCTCCTGAAAGAAAGAGGGGTTGCCATGCCAGTTATGCTGGGGCAGCATACACAGGTCTCAGGCTAAGAGAAAAGGATAGTGCTTCCTGTCCTCTGCGTAGAGGAGCTGGGTGATCTGGACTTGCTGGCTGACCTGTCCTAAACATTCTCTCTGAGGTGTCTGCAGCCTGAGGGAAGGCAGACAGCAGTCATACTGGGGTTTTAGGAACTGTATGCCCCAGCAGGAGCACAGTGAGTGTTATTCCCAAGCATTCAGGAAACGCCGCCATCTGTCTTGTTGAGGAGTTAAGTTTCCAGGTATCAGTGATGGGGGCAGTGGCTGCCAGGGAGTCTCTAGTCTCAGTGAATCTTTATGTGGGCAAAGCACATGCTGGAGAAATCAGTTATAAGTGAGTGTGAGGTGAACCAACAAAACCACAAGTGGCCCGAGAGAGGGATAAGCCCCCCTACCCCAGGCTGGGACTCTGCAGGGATCCTCAGAAAAGGATGACAGACCAGCTCTTCAGCCAATTCCAGGCAGGTGGAGTACAGAAAAAGCCTTAATTTTCAGCTACTGGAGCAAACATCTGAGTTTTGGTAGGAAGAGAGTCTCCAAGATTCAGAGGTGACAGGATGTGGGAGATAAAGTTGCAGAGGAATCTGGTATAGGTGCAGCAAGGGATGAAATCCTGACCCCTTGGAGATCACTTCCAGGAGGCCTGAGGAAGGAAGGGTGCAGCCGTCTGTCTCTGGGGTCGGAGCAGTGCACTAAGTAGGAAGAGGATCCCAGTGACGTTTAGCTGTTAGGGTATTTAGCACTGGAGGAGCCTCTGGGTCTTCTGATATGGGATCGCCCCATCACTCTCAGGCCTTCTTGGGGAGGAGTTTCCCCTACCAGAAAACAGGGAAAGTACATCCCTAATTTTCCTGTGTGATCTCAGGGAAGATGCTTCTATGAGGAAAGCCACATAGGAGGGCTGTCTCAATTTTCCTCTGTACCACATCCAGCTCCCTGGCCTTTTCCTTCACTTGCTGTTTTTCTCCTTACTTAGATTATCTGCTTCCTACTTTCTGCTTCCTACTTTCATACTTTCTACTTAATCTTTTTTGGTTTTTGAGACAGGGTTTCACTATGTAGTTCAGGCTGATCTTAAACTCACTATGTAGCCCAGACTGGCCTCGAACTTGTAGTGATCCTCCTGCTTCAGCCTCCTGAGTGCTGGGATTACAGGCATGCACTACCATGCCTGGAAATCTTTTTTTTTAATAAGAAAGAAGTTGTTAAAGTCTTAGTCTCAGACTCTAACCCACAATTTTTCATAATGTTACATGTTCCTAAAATTTGATAGTCTAAAATGCATTTCCCAGACAAGACCAAAATGGTTTTGCCATTGCAACAGAAGAGAGATGGTAATGGGCTCAGTGACAAATAGCTTCTTCTCACACCTACTGCTTCTGGAGTAGCAAGAGCTAATGCCAGTGCTCAAGTCTGGTTCCAAAGGGCGTTTCATTTCAGTCATGCCTCTTCCATGAACATGGCTATTTGTACCTTTCCTCTAACTCACTCACTCAGCTATGTCCTGTGGGTCTGAGGAACCGAGTAGAGAGGTCGTTTGTAAGTGGTCCCAACCTTCAGAGGATTGACCGGAAATTCTATCAGAGTTCACAGAGGGCAAAAGGGGCTATAAAGGGCTTGAGTAGTTGGCAAAAGAAGACTTATTTTTTTAAAAGCTTTTAAAAACCATTTTTCTAAGAGACAGAATCTAGGGTTAGGGATGTGGCTCAGTTGTAGAGTTCTTGTCTTGCATGTACAAGGCCCTAGGTTCAACCCCAGCACCATGAGAGGGGTGGAGAGAGAGAGAGAGAGAGACAGAGAGACAGAGACAGACAGTGACAGAGAGAGAGACACAGAGAGAATGAATCTGTGCTATGTTGCCCAGGGTGGCCTTGAACTTCTGGGTTCAAGTAACTGCCTCAATCCCTTGAGTAGTTGAGACTTTTTAAAATCAGCTCTTGAAGGATTGCCTTCAGGGATACAGAGTACTTTTGATGGAGCAGGAAGTAAGCATAAAGGATATGATAAATAAATATGGAATATGATGTGTGTGTGTGTACACATGTACCGTCAAAGTCTCCCTATCTTGTTCCTTAGCCACCCAATACTTTCCCTAGAGGTAGACTTAAACTAAAAAAATATTTGACAAACACAGACAGCCCATCTGCTTGCCTCCTGGTGGATGGATGACTGATGCTCTTTTAAGAACAGGAGTACCCAGCGTGCATGTTTCACTGTATTCTCTGTTAAGCACTGTGTGGCAACTCTTTCCGACCACCAAATCCTCACAAAGAAGACCTCACTAACCATGTTTCTAAGAGGGAGAACATTTAAGACCAAAAGTAATTATATAATGTTAACCACCTCTCCCCAACCCAAGAACCCACAAAAATCTTGAGAGGACTTTGGGTTACCACAAAAGGATGGGTTGTGGGTTTGAGCCAAGAGAACCAAGATCTAAGGAAAATGGGAGCCCGGCTGGCCTGCGGGCTGCAGCGTAAATGGAGACTGGACCATAGGCAGGGCTGCCCTGCCCTAAACCGATGTGCAAAGAGGGTGCTCAGGGGACCCCTAGAAATGGTCCTGATGGCACTGACAGGAGCAGGGTGTGCAGGCTGCGGATGGTGACACAGATGGGTGAGCACTTCCCAGATGGGTTTCCTGACCAGAAAAGGACTCCCGCGTGGAAAGGTCAAGAGGGAAAGATCCCTATTTTTCCTCCCCTGCTGTGAAATCAATTAAAAACAGGATGGATGCAAAATGGTTTTCTAACCTCCTCCACCTCCTGGCTTCCTTTCTTTCTGGGGGCAGGCCAGCTCTGAATGGGGAGAGACAGGAGTCTCATGGTCTGCAAATTCTTCAGCAGTTTGAATAACAGTGACCTTTGCTCCAGCTCTCCTCAGGGGCCCCATGCTGGCAGAGCCTGTTTCTCCAGAAAATGTGCAGAGCACGAGGAGCTGCAGAAGACAGAGTGGGGAGGGCCAGGGTCCCGCTAGGGCTTCGCTGCCCAGTTTCCCTCAGAAGTGTCTGACTTGGGGGAAACAAAGCATCTGGATTTAAAAGAGAATTTATTTCCCACAGAATAATTCAAAACGCTTATTATGCTCACACATCACTGCTTTATGCGAGCCAACATCAGTATCTTCCTTTCTGCTTTGATCTACAAAAGTGATGATACGTAACGTTTACGGAGTACCACTGTCAGCCAGACACATTATTACACACTTTTCTTAAATGAACTCTAATTCACATAACTAGTGAAGATTAAGCAATATTTTCCCCAATCTAAACGTAAGGAAAGTGAGGCTCAGAGATACTAAATAACCTACCCATGTTTAAACAGTCAGTAAGTAGCAAAACCAGGACCCAAACCTGGTCTGCTTTTCACTCCCCAGCACATTACAATAATAACAATAACAATAGCAGCTCCCATTTAGTAAACCCTTACTGTGTGCCAGATGTCTGGTACATATTATCTGAAACTCTCATAGCAAACCTGCGAGGAAGGTTTCCAAGCTCCTCTTACAGATGAATGGGCCAGAGTGAAGGACACAGCTCGAGGTCTGAGGACCGACTCAGTAAGGGCTGTCCTTGGACGTTGCTCTGTGGGGTCTTTGATGTCAAGCTTTTCACACTACTCCAGGGGCCTGGAAGATCCTCTTGTCCCTAGGTGCGTCCTGTGGGGCCCAGCTTGCTGTCTGTGGTGAGTTGAGGCTGCACTGGGCTGTGCGCAGAGCCTGCGAGCAGCCTCTGCCAGCGCACATTGCTCTCAGCAGCATGTAATGTTTCCTAGGGTCTCAGCCAACTTGGCAGAGGCCTTTCAGACATCTCGAGGGACGTGGTTCGAAGCATCTCAAAGGCAGCGAGAGACTTTTTTGTCAGGGCGTGCTGCTGCACACAAAGAGCTGCCGCCACTTTCCCCAAAGAAGAGGATTAGCCGGATAAACCCATCACTTCAGAGTCTGGCAGCCTAGAATCTCATTTACACCCCCAGTGCAAAGTCCTACGACCGGCTTCCTCAGCTTACACGTGCCTCCCTGGTCCTCAGACAGCCCTTATCAGCTGTTTGTCAACTCTGTCTTCTTTGACACTCTATTTTCCAGACAAAGCCTCACCCAAAATATATTGGGGGGTCTTGACAGCCACATCTTCACTTACTTGCTTCCATGTTCCTCTCTCCCTGTAGCTTGTGGTCCATAAGCAACTGCTATAACGAGACAGTGCAAGTTTGGGCTGGCCCTGAGAACCAGCTCAAACATTGTCACATCTATTACATCTTCAGGGTTCATTTAGCCCAAGGAGGAAAGGTAGCGTGTGTACGAGTTTTTAGCAAAGAAATATAAGGCCACATTAGTGTCTGCTAAAATGTAGGTTCCCATGGATCCCATTGTCTCCATCTCTTTGGCTCCAGACTCTATCCTATACCACTGTCCGGGAAATAGCCACTGTGACTCAGAACATTGATCTAACTTGAGATGTTTCCCTCAAAGGGCCCGCTAAATGTTCTGAAAACTCAGCGTGAAAATCACAATGCCCATAAAGATGAAGCTTATGCCTAGAACAATCCATTTCAGAACAAGATTGTCACACAATTTGGGCTACCTCACCAGCACCAGGAAGTAGTCATTTATTTTCAACAAATGCTTACTGAGTATCTTGCAGGGACCAGGTACTGCCAAGTACTGTGGATTCTGGGTAGAACAGTGCAGATAAACTCTTCATCCTTTGGAGTTCATAGTGGGTCAAGGAAGTCAGATAAGTGAACAGGAACTTTTTAAAGTTTGTGCTGTAGGAGCAGAGAGCAGGGTAGCTTAAGCAGCTCCAAGATTTGGGATGGCTTCTATGAGGAAGTGATGTTTAAACAGAGACCTTGAGGATGAACAGAAGCTGGTCAGGTAGGGGAGAAGTGAGGACCAGTCCTCCAGATGTGGCAGCCATGAGCATGAGCCTCAAAGTTCTCCAAGACCAAGGGACTCGACTGACTTTAGGCCCAGCTGCTGTGCTCTGACATCACCACATTCTTGCTGAGGCTCTGCTCCCCTCAGGCAGCTGGGCCATGACCAAATGTGGCAGGAGTGTCACTCCTTCACCTGGAGTCAGACTTGTGCCATGGGTAAGAGTGACATTACCCAGGGCGTGTGACATGAGCTAGGACACAAGGACAAAGGGAAAGGAGCTCAGGGCAAGCCCTGAAACTTCTCTCCTCCCAGCAGTAGGCGGAAAAGTCGTACACTAGAAGCTAACAGTTTCCTCCAGGGATTAGGCAAGACTGGACTTCTGTCTCTTCCTTTAAAAATTCCAGAGCAACTTTAACTGAAAACATCTTGTTTCAGGATAGAGTCTCCAAGGGCTCCGGGTATAGGGAAGTGTTTGGACAATCAACTTTTATTCTACCTGCAAGAGCTTTTCCTTTCCCCTAATATTTTTATCCATATGGTGTCAGAAGAAGCTGACTTTCCAGAGTTTAATCTTGACAGGGCCAACCCTAGCTTTGACTAGACAGGAGCCCAGGCAGGACTCAGACTGGACTAGTCAGGTGCCAGGTGTGTTACTGCAACAGTGAACGCTTGTAGACGCTTCTAGTCAGCATCCCAGGATCAGATTCTTCTGGCCTGCATGGGGAGAACATCCTTCTGGCTGCCCTGCATCACTGGGCAGAGCTAGTTCTCACTGCATATTAATAAATTGATTTTCTGGTTTCATTTAAAAACACATGAAAGAATAACATTAACATCAAAGGAGATCATCAAAGAGGAAAAGGGTTACAAAAAAGCAACATGTGGCTTGTGGGTGTGAGGGGAGGGTGAATTTTGGTTTTTAGGTAGGCAAGGCTACCCCAGGCAGGGTTTCCATGGTGCCTTTCAAATCCATCCTTTATCTGTGTGCTGCCTGGGGCTTAGGTAGGAGTACCTAACCTCTGAAATCATAGAAAGGGAAAAATGACCCTGCTGGTGATCATTTAAGGAAATATTTTTTGACAAATGAAAGGAAATACCCATTTATAGCCTATAAATGGAACCCATTACTCCCATATGGTGTTCAAGAGGTAAGCTAAAAATGGGTCCCAGTAGAGGCCACGTAAAGTAATGCAATGCTCATTAGCATAAACTTATGAATACGGGACATGGTAATGTTCCCACAGAAGTGTTCTTGGTGCCCCTCTCGGGGAGCTGCTGTTCTAACCACATCCTGTTCCCAAGCACTTCTAAAGCATGGAGTTTCTTTCTCTAAGCTCTGCCTTTGCTACACCATTCCTTTGCTGCTCTTGAGATCCAGTTTCAAACAGGGACTCTTGTAGGAAGCCCACCCTGAATCTCCACGCCAAAGATGGTCACACCTTCCTATGCATTCTACACAAGCACACATACAAAACCTTCACCATAGCTCTGGAGTTACTTGTCTGCACAACTGGATGATAACCTTTTCTAGGACAGATGGTGCCTGATTCATGTGATCACAGCACAGGTCCACCCAATTATCCTTATGCAGGAAATGCAAGTTGAATGAATGAATGAAGGAGTGTTGCAGCTATATCAACCAATGCTCACTCACTACTTATGGAGTATATTATATGTGCGTGACATTCTCAGACCCTTTGTTCATGATAACAGTTGGGCAATACTCTTTTTCCAGAACAGATGTCTATTCATCTCAGCTAATATACATGATTGTCTCCAAAGCAACCATCTGGGTGGCTGAAGTAGAGTAGTTAAGAGGCTTGTTGAGATTTCAGTGTCTTTAACTTTAACTGTGCTTCTCAGACAAGTGAGACAGTTCCCCAGAAATCTGGTCTGGAAATACTGCCAACACACATTCCAGTGACTTTGAGATGTTTAAAAAACAGACATATCACCTTTCAGGCTGAAATCACTGGGAAGTACATTTTAAAGTTGGGGTCCCTTCCAAGTTCATAGGTTGTGAATGACACACAGTCTGTGGAAACTTTATGAGATCATGAACATGCTGAGGTCCGAAAATTTCAAGAAGTCTTTAACCACAAATTAAACAAGTACCACATTTGCATGTTTAGGAAAAAAGTCCAGCAAGCCAAGGTCCAGTGGTGAGAATGCTGCCAAAGGCAGACGATGGTAAGGGGCCTGGTCAGGCTCCAGTGTGAAGAACTTGAATGTGGCCAACTGCAGGTATGGGTAGAAGGAACTCTGGAAAAGAGGGAAGGTCTGAGAAGAATAAGGGTCCTGCTAGTAAATTAAACAACCAGCCCTAGAGAAAAACATTCTGGAAATTGAATTCCAATCACAACTTTAACACTTTAGAAAATCATTTGAAGAATTTAGCAGTGAATCCATCAGATCCTGGGCTTTTCATAGTTGGTAGTATTTTTTTTTAATTACTGCATTAATTTCCCTGCTTATTATTGGATTTTCAGACTATGTCTTCATGATTTAGTTTTGGTAATTTGTATGAGCTTAGCAATCTGTGTATTTCTTGAAGATTTTCTGATTTGTTGAAATATAATTTTTCATAGTAGTTTCTATCTACTATGCTCTGGTATCTTTTGAATTGCAATGGTGTCTGTTATGATTTCATCTTTTTCATTACTAAGTGCTTTAATGGGAAGCACTTTTTTGGTAAGTTTGGCTAATGGTTTATCTATTTTGTTTAATCTTTCAAAGAATTAGCTCTTTGATGCATTGATTAATTTTTTAGTCTCCATTTTATTAATTTCTGCTCTGATATTTATGATTTCCCTCCTTAAATTTGGTTTGAGTTTGTATTGTTGTTTTTTGAGTGTCTTGAGGATCACTATTAGGTTATCTATCTATTTGAGCTCACCTGTTTTTCAAATGTGAGCATAAATCGCAATAAGTTTCCCTCATAGGATGACTTTCATTATGTCCCATAGGTTCTGGCTTGTGGTACCAGCATTACTGTTTGATTTCAGAAATTGTTTAATTTCTTCCATGACCCATTGGGTGTTATTGTTTCCAGACATTTACAAATTTTGTGTTGTTTCTTCTGGGATTGATTTCTAGTTTCAATGCACAACAGTTTGAGAGTAAACATAGGGTAATTTTTTTGTATTTACTTAAGTATGGTTTGTGGACTAGTATGTGATCTATTTTGCAGAAAGTTCTGTGTGATGCTGAGAATAATGTGTATTCTGTTGTAGTAGGGTAGAACATTCTGTAGATATCTATTCAGTCCATTTGTTCAAAGGTGTGTTCAAATCCGACATTTCTTTTTTGGGTTTTGGTTTAGTTGATCTGTCTCTTTGTGAAAGCAGGGTATTGAGATCACCCACTGTGATTGTGTTGGTGTATATTTGATATACAGTAGTATTTATTTTATAAATTTAGGTGCTCCAGTATTTGGTGCATATATATTTAAAAGTGTTATCTCTTCCTGTTGGATTGTTCCTTCAACTAGTATACATTGACCTTCTTTGCCTTTTCTGATTAGCTTTAGCTTGAGATTTGCTTTGTCTGAAGGTGAATTTGATACCACTGCCTGCTTTGGGGGTCTTTGTACATGAAACTGATTCCAGAAATTGTTTAATTTCTTCTATGACCTATTGGGTGTTTAACAGTATGTTGCTTTTCCAGGTGTTTACAAATCTTCTGTGGTTTCTTCTGGGATTGATTTCTAGTTTCAATGCACAACAGTTTGAGAGTAAACATGGGGTAATTTTTTTGCATTTATTTAAGCATGTTTTGTGGACTAGTATGTCTATTTTGCAGAAAGTTTTTTATCTTTTGTTTTCTATCCCTTAAATTTTAGTCTATGAATATCTTTTCAAATCATATGTGTTTCTTGAATGCAACAGACTATTGATTTTGGTTCTCTGATCCACTGTGCCCACCTGTGTGTTTTAAAAGTGAAATTGAGGTCATTAGTATTAAAAGTTATTACTACAAGGTGTTGATTTATTCCTGACATTGTGTTCTTTTTCTGTTGATGACTCTTTTTTTGTTTATTTATTTGTCTTGCTTGATGTAGTCATCCTATCTAAATATTTGACTTTGTCTGTTTTGTTTTCTCTGTCTAGAATATTCTTGAGTATTTTCTAGAATGCTCATTTGGTGTTCATGGATTTCTTAAGTTGTTCTTTTTGATGTACTTATTTTTCCATTTTTTTTGAAAGAAGGTTTTGTATGATTGTTAATTTGGGCTGGAAGTTGTTTGCTTTTAGTGCTTGAAATATTTCACTTCAGCTCTCCTGGCCTTTAAAGTTTGTGTTGAGATCTCTGCTATAATCCTAATGGGTTTAGTTTTATATGGTTTTTTTGCTTTTCTCTGACAGCTTTTAAGATTCTCTCTTTCTGTTTGATATTTGGAATTTTGTCTAAGATATGTCATGGGAGCTTTTTTTTCATCCTGGATGTAGCTCTGTAAGCCTTGCTTACCTGTAAGTTGAAATCTTTCCTTGTACTTGGAAAATATTGTGATTTCTATAAACATATTTTTATTCCATATAGGCCATCCTAGTTTCTGCCTGACTGTAGTTACCCTTAAGTTGCTCATCTTAGCACTGTCTAGTAGGTGTTGGATCAATTTTTCTGTTCTATTATTGTATTTTAAACCAACAAGACTTTTGAAGACATTATGACACCATTACTCCTCCAACTCTTCAATAAAATATAAAAGGAAGGAGTGCTTCCATACTCATTTCTGGAAGCAGCATCACTTGGATCCCTAAGCCAGAAAAAGACCCAACTAAAAGGAAAATTATAGACCAATCTCCTTAATGATCATAGATGCAAAAATCTGTGATAAGATGTTGGCAAACAGAGTGCAGCAAATAATCAAACAGATTATGCCTCATGACCAAGTAGGCATCATCTCAGGGTTTCAAGGGTGGTTCAACATATGCAAGTCAATAAGTTTAATATATTACATAAACAGAAGCAAGAACAAAAATCACATGATCATATCAATAGATACTGAAAAGGCCTTTGACAAAATCCAACACCCATTCATGATAAAACTCCAAAGAAAGTAGGTATAGAAAGCTTTTACTTGAATCTGATAAACCCATTTATGACAAACCAGTCGCCAATATCGTATTAAGTGGAGGGAAAACTGAAATCTTTCCCTCTAAAATCAGAAACAAGTAAAGGGTGCCCACCATCACCACTTCTGTTCAACATAGTACTTGAAACATTAGACAGAGCAATCAGATAAGAGAAAGAAATAAAAGGGATAATCAAGGAAGTAAAACACCTCTATAATGAAAATTACAGTATATAGCTGGCTCTCTGCAGTCCTTGTGACAGTCCAAGAAGTTTTTATTTGTAATCCCATGGAAAAGTTATTGGAATTCTAGAAAGTTAATTCTAATCTACCACTTCCAGTGCAACTCATGGCAAGAGTAAAGACACTAAGGCATATTTGCAGTTGTAGGGAGGCAAAAGGGTCCTAAGTCCAGCTAGTAAGGTGGTTAACTGGAACAAAGACCTTGACCCAGGGCTAAACTTGGGTTTTATTAATTCATGAAGAAGGGAGTGGCTTGAGGATGAGTGACTATGAGAATGGTTGGAAGTACATGACAGCTGTGAGCTGGGATAGGTAGGAGGCCTGAAATCACCTCTACAATATGCAGAGAGAAGGATCTACAGAAAGAGTACTCTGCATAGCACAGGGGAAGAGGTATCTAATGTTTTGGGGTCAGTGCTTCGACTCTGATGTGTAATCTTTTATGCCCTGAGGAGTCATAACCTCTTATCTCCAGGCTTGATTGACAGCGTGGAGCATGGCTCTCCGTCCTACCTGGCTCACATATGTTATTTTGGGAGCTACAGTGTAGGGTAACACTGTCTTGTCACCTTGCTTCAAAGACTACACATCAGCACCTCTGCTGGACCAATTTGCATTGCTTAAAGCCAATTGAAGGGATAAGGAAAAGTCTTAGCTAGCTTTGTACATGTCAATACATGGAAATGGGGCCATGCTTAGCCAAAATGGAAATAATTGCTCTTCTTTCAAGACAGTCATCCAGGTGGTCTTTCATAGCAGTATTCTAAGAAAGGAGATTAAAAAGGACATCAGAAAACAGAAACATATCCCCTGCTCCTAAAAAGGCAGAATTAATATGGTCAAAAAGGCCATTGTTCCTAAACTGATACATAGATTTAATACAATTTCAACCAGAATATTGATAGCATTCTTCACAGAGCTGGGGAAAACAATCCTAAAATTCATATAGAACTAGGAAAGACACAAAACACATGAAAAACTTCCAGACCAAAGAACAGGAGGCATCAAAATACCTGACTTTAAGCAATATTACAAGGTTACAGGGATAAAAACAGCATGGGATTGGCACAAAACAGACTTGTAGATCAGTGGAATAGAACAGAGGATGCAAAAACCATCACTGAGGGGCTGGGGATTTAGCTCAGCGGCAAAGCGCCTGCCTGGCAAGCGCAAGGTCGTGAGTTCGGTTCTCGGTCCCGGAGAAAAACCAAAACAAACAAACAAACAAACAAACACATGTGAATTTGCTTTATTTCACTAATGAGTGTGGTCTCTATTGCATCTATTTACATATAAAATCCTCTAGTTTATCCTTCTTTATAGCTGAGTAATACTCCATTGTATAAAAATACATCTTGTTTATCCATATCTCAGTTGATGGACATTTGGGTTCTTTCCAAGAATTTGCATTTCTTAATGACCAGAGATGTTAAACATTTTTTCATGTTTATTGTCCATTTCTCCTCCTCCTCCTCCTCCTCCTCTTCGTTCTTCGTTCTTCGTTCTTCTTCTTCTTCTTCTTTTCTCCTCCTCCTCCTCTTTCTTCACAACATCTGTTCATTTTACTTGTCCACTGTTTGATTGGATCTTTTATATTGTGCTTTTTTCTTTAGTTCTTTACATATTCTAGATATGTACGAGGAAGAGTAAGCAAAAATTTTTTTCCCTTCTTTAGGTTGTCTCTTCACTCCATTGGTTGTTTCCTTTGGCATGCAGAAACTTTTTAATTTCATGTAATCCTATTTGTTGATTCTTGCTGTTACTTTTTGTGCAATTGGAGTTCTGCTCAGAAAGTCCTTGCCTACACCAATGACTTTAAGAGTTTTACCTAGCTTTATCTTCCAGTATGTTTAGTGTTTGTTTTAATATTTAGATCTTTTATCCACTTTTATTTTAATTTAGTATGTAGTGAGAGGTATGGGTCCAGCTTCAAGCTTCTATATATGGATATCCATTTTTCCCAACACTATTTACTAAAAAAGTTATTTTTCTTCCAACATATATTTTAGGCCATTTTTCAAAGCTCAGATAGCTGAATGTGTCAGTGATGGTTTTTTTTTTTAGAAATAAAATTTTATTTAAATGCCCAGGGAAAGTGAGCATTGTGGGTGTTAGGTGAGTCCTTCCATTAATTGATGAATTCAGAAGGGGTCAATTTCACACTTGTCTCCAAAGCACCCATGGAGAGGCAGAAAGTTGTCTGGCACCTGACTAAGACCTGTAGGGACCACACAAACATCCACCCATCTGCTCTTGCACTTTTCACCATAGCCTACGAACCCAAGTCCAACCGAGACTGAAGTTCTGAGGGGTGGCTAGGTAGGAACAGAGGACTTATCTGTGGCCATGGCCTTGGAGGGCACTGGGGCACCATCCCCTCTATCGGCTATAATGCCATCATTTTACTTTGAGATTTGGAAGCCCTGTGGCTTGGAAACTTCTCTGGCTTGGAAATTCTGGAGTTTGGCAAGCATAATGGACTGCTATGCTGAAGGATATCAGAATGATCCCCAAGCAATGCCCACCTGTGATTGGGACAAGAATAGTACCCAGACCTAGGCATGAGCCAATGGTCTCCAGGCATCCACACTTTTAGGGGA